TGACACGAAGGGCGTATCCTTCGATCGCCACAGACACCCCGCGCCGCAGGACCCCAAGAACCCCATCCCTCCGCCGCCAAAGCTAACCCACGCCCTCCCTCTCCCGCCCTTCAGAGGAGATCGCCCGTCAGCTCGAGGACAGCGGCGCCCACGTCCTCGTCGGAGAGCCCTTCCTGACCCCGACCTTAGACGCCGCCCTTAAGCTGTACAAGAAGCCCACCCACTTCGTGACGAACGGCCCCTCCTCGTCGCCCACGGCCATCGACCTGTGGAAAGTGCTCGACGACCCCTCCGTTCCCTTCGTCGACCCCGTCGTGGTAAGGCTTCGCCCCTGAGGAAGGGATTCTAGATCACACGCACACACACACACACATACACACATGCGCCTGCACACACACACACACACATACACACACATCACACACACACACACACACACACACACACACACACACACACACACACACACACACACACACACACACACACACACACACACACACACACACACACACACACACACACACACACACACACACACACACACACACACACACACACACACACACACACACACACACACACACACACACACACACACACACACACACACACACACACATACACACACACACACACACACACACACACACACACATACATCACACACACACACACACACACACACACACACACACACACACACACACACACACACACACACACACACACACACACACACACACACACACACACATACACACATACATACATACATCATACATATATATATATATATATATATATATATATATATATATATATATAATATATTATATATATATATATATATATATATATATATATATATATATATATATATATGTATATATATATATATATATATATATATATATATATATATATATATATATATATATATATATATAATATATATATATATATATATATATATATATATATATATATATATATATATATATATATATATATATATATATATTATATATATATATATATATATATATATATATATATATATATATATATATATATATATATACACACACACATACACACACACACACACACACACACACACACACACACACACAACATATATATATATATAATATATATATATATATATATATATATATATATATATATATATATATATATATATATATATATATATATATATATATATATATATATATATATATATATATATATGCATATGCATACATCTGGTGTACTTATCTTTATATGTATCAAACATTTACATGGAACTGACTACCCATGAGAAAAATATCTAACTCAAAAATTATCTTGCCATGGTTTCTCTCCCAAAGCTAACAGGCGAAGAGCCAGCTGTCATCCCATACTCCAGCGGTACCACGGGGCCTCCCAAGGGCGTGATCACCACCCACAATGGGTTCTCGTCCCACCTGCCCACCACGATGCATCCTTACTTCACGCTTGAAGAAGGTGAGTTACCGCCGTCGTGCTTTTAACGCGTAAGGGGTTAGTTCTTTAGATTTAAAAAGGAAGAAAAGAAAAGAAAAAAAAAAAAAAAAAAAAAACGGAAAGCTGAGTACAAATTAACCATACACAAAGAAATAATGTACTGAATATATCAATTCATTTTGGTTAACCACTTTTAGGAAAATGTTTGCAATAATATGTGTGCACGTATTTCCTTTTCTTTCCATTCAAACTTATACAATAAGGCCGTCCTACAACGTAATTTTGTAATATTGGAAAATTGTAAAGGATATTTGTTGTTATGTCTGTGAATCAGACATATTTAGTCTTTCTATCCAGGCTTGCAGTTTAGTGCCATGAAACAAACTGTTTCTTGATATATATATATATATATATATATATATATATATATATATATATATATATATATATATATATATATATATATATATATATATATATATATATATATATATATATATATATATATAGAAAAAGAAAAAGGAGAGAAAAGTTCTGCCACGAAAATGCAGCTCTGAACTAATTTAACACGAGGGCATTTTTCATGTACAGTCACGGTCGAGACTCTTGCCAAACTTGTTCCGAATCCCGTTTCGGTTCATACCACACTTTTTGAGTAAGGTAAGACAAAGTCGAAGCTTCAGTTCATGGCATGACTTTTGTCCGCCACTTCACTAATCCGATACCCGCGGCTTCGGCTCCTCCAGGCGAAAACCAGGACGTGTACATGTGCGTCCTGCCGTTCTTCCACATCTACGGCATGGGGCCCATTATGACGTGCGGCCTCCACGTCGGCGCCAAGCTGCTCGTCTCGGCCAAATTCGACTCCAAGACTTTTGTTAGAGATATTCACGACCATCAGGTTAGAGCGCGCTTGGTTTAAGATGTTCAGAATTAAAGTAAATAATATAGAGAGAGAGAGAGAGGAGAGAGAGAGAGAGAGAGAGAGAGAAGAGAGAGAGAGAGAGAGAGAGAGAGAGAGAGAGAGAGAGAGAGAGAGAGAGAGAGAGAGAGAGAGAGAGAGAGAGAGAGGAGAGAGAGAGAGAGAAACCTACTAAAGTAAAATGTAGCTATGAAAATAAAACGATCCTCTCTATATGAAATATATCCTCTCTTTGTCCCACATTTAATAATCTTATTTTCCAAACATTCAACCCTTCTGCGCCCCGTAGGTGACCGTCCTGCACTTAGTTCCGACGCTGTTGAACTTCCTGCTGAACTCCCCGACGGCGACGCCCGAGGCCCTCAGGTACCTTCGGAACGTCATGTGCGGCGCCGCCCCCGTGCCCGCGACCGCCGTGGCCGCCCTCAAGGACAAGCTTGGATCCTCTCTGCTTTTCCAGATTGGTCTCTGACTTGTTCCCAATCCACTGACAGAATATAGACAAAGAATTTAATATTTTCCCAGTTAATGAGCATAGAAAAGATTGTTCAGACTGTCAACAGAACCTACACTATCCGAAATGTTTGAGGCACCCGATCTAAACCTGCTTCTCGTCCCTCAGGCTACGGCATGACGGAGGTGGCGGTGGCAACCAAAGTGCCGGTGAAGGACGAGCGCTCCGGCACCATCGGCCAGCTGCTGCCCAACGTGACTGCCAAGGTGGTGGACGTCGAGACGGGCGCCCTCCTGCCGCCCCTCGCCGACGGGGAGATCTGCATCAAGACCCCTTCGGTATGTGCACGACAGGGTGGTGGTGGTGGTGGGGGGGGGGGGGGGTAGGCCTTGAATGGGCATCGTTGATTTTAAAAGGAATATTGCCACATTATTATTATTATTATATTATCATCATCATCATCCTCAAAGTAAATGTTATTATTAATACTGTTGCAATTTTGTTCATTGGTATGACAAGAATCATGATCATCATGCCTGTCATCATTCCACTCCTGGGAAATTCCAATCCAAATCAGTAAGAAAAGGAGAGAAAATAAAACAGATTTAAGACAAAAAAGAAAACAAAAAACGCATAATCTTGGTAGCTGACCGAGACCCCTTTCCCGCAGCTGATGGCCGGCTACCACAACAACCCCGCCGCCACCGCAGAGACCATCGACGCGGAGGGCTGGCTGCACACGGGCGACGTCGGGCACTATGACCACGACGGCTTCTTCAAGATCGTTGACCGCACGAAGGAGCTCATCAAGGTCAAAGGTCTGCAGGTGAGCTTCCGGAGACGAGTTTGCCTCCTTTTCTACTACTTTCTGTTTCCAGGCTCCTTCCCACCCTTCCTCTATTCCTCTGCATTTTTTTATTCCCTCCTTTGTCTTTCTCTCACCTATATATCTTGTTGTTTTTTTATTATTCTTTTTCTTTTTCTCACCTGTATTCCTTAGCGTTTTTCTTTTTTCTTTTTCATTCCCTTTTTTTTCTTTCTCTTCACCTGTATTTCATGGCGTTTTTCTTTTATTTCATCTTATTCCCTTTTTTCTTTCTCTTACCTAGGTGTCGCCTTCGGAGTTGGAAAACATCCTTCTTAAGCATCCTGACGTGGCGGACGTGGGTGTCCTTGGCGTACCGCACGACAGGATGGGAGAAGCACCCCGAGCCTACATCGTCGCCAAGAAATCCTTAAGAGAAGAGGATATCAACCAGTAAGAACACCCATGATAAAAAATTCCTCTCGATTTGACTCTTCACAAACTTCAACGCTGTGATAAAAGCCCACATAAAGATACGCTTCCCCCTTTCCTAAACGCCGCTTACGACCTGACGAAGTGCCGGCGTTAACTCTCACACCACTAACGGGGCCCCTTCCTCTCCCCCCACAGGTTCCTGGAGCCCCGAGTCGCGCCGCACAAGAGACTGGTTGGCGGCGTCGTGTTCGTGAGTGAGCTTCCGAAATCCGCAACGGGGAAGCTCCTAAGAAGAGAGCTTAAGAAACTCGCCTAACATCTGTGCATTTATGAGTCAAAGCGCGTGGATGATTGTAAATAAGGCTGGGAATAAATAAGGCTCTCGGGTGGAATATTATGGAGTTGTTCTCAAAACGATGGTTGATTTTCGACAATTTTACAATAGTGATAGAAATAAGGCGAGGTTGTGAATTCTAAATAAATGTTGAAAATAATTCTTTAATTTCTTATTTGTACGTTTATTCATATATATTTTAGTTGAGATACATCTCCGTGTTAATCCCCATAATAATAAAAATTCGTGATTTAATACTAGCAGAGAAAAAAGAGTTAGGAGACAATACGTAAACATTAAAAGAGTCCGATTACTTCCTAAATACAGAGGAGCAAATTTCAGCAATGTGACTGGTCCGGATCAGTGACCCAAAATATAAATAAAATTATAAGGGAACATTTAAGTAAAGATGCAAATTAACTACGAGTGGTAACAACAAAATGTAAGAAAAATAAATAAAAAAACAAGGAATTATAACTCGTCTGCTGTGATCAAAAGACATATTTCTATAAAACTTTGAATTATGCTTTGCATTAAATCTTGTCTGCAATTCTGTACA